TTTAGAAGAGAAAAGGAAAATGAAATAATGCAGACGAATTGTTAGATTTTGTAAGAATAGAAAGCAGACCAACAATCAGTTAAGCTCATTAAATTTCTAACGCCTGCTTTTATGTTTTTTTTTCCTGCAGTCTAAAAAAAACTGCGTAATGAAATAATAAAACTAGCTTCAGGCGAACGCTTAGTAGCTTTTAATCCATTAAAGACGACGAACTGTTTAAAATTAAGTACTCGAAGTATACTTGTTAACTAACTCAGTAAATTGAAAGCAAAACACTTACAAAAAGAGCGTCACGTTCTTCATCTTTCAGTTTCTCAAATGCAAACTGTGGAACAGCAGAAGCCAGACTCCCCGGTACACCGGCTAGCAAGCTTTTTTGTGGGATTTTCGGTACCGGTGGAAAACGTTCGGTAATCTAAATTTTATAAAGCATAAACATATCATAGCGGTGTGCAACAACTCTCCAAACGTATTCACATAGTTAAGCATTTCCAAAAAAGTTGAAAGGAACGAACAAATGGTACTCCCTCTTCTCATCCTTTCTAGCCCTACTTATTAATTCCACGTTACCACTTTAAAACGTAACTTACTGTTACTGTCGGAATTGCTGCAGCTGGAGATCTTTTTCTGAAATTATTAAACTATTAAACTCGATATTTTTTTCTACACTTTCGTCAAACGTTTTTTATGAGTTTTTTGCAGCTATGCTATGCGGAAAACGCATACTGACGAGAGGTTGCCCTCTGTGTGTGTGCGTCTGTGTGTGCGCAGGGCTTCTGCACCGATTTTTCATCTCGAGACCGACAAAAGTTACAGGGTTGAAACTTTGGGGACTTAATCTACATGTATGTGCGGGCCCCCATCCTCAAAATGAGCGGTCTTGGTACCCACATAAGAGCCCGCCAAAATTTTTTCGGATAAGTTGATAACTCAAGAACCTGAAAAGCTAGAAGACCGTAATATTAATAGGATGTTCTCCGCCCATATTAGTCCCAACGAGCTCAAACCCAGCCCTTGGTCATGCGTGGTATCTAAGCACGGGTTCACCAAAGTATTCCTCGGGTACGTTCATAACGCGAGAACCTGAAAAGCTAAAAGACTGTAGTTTTAAGATGTTTCCCATCCAAGCAAGTCTCAACGAACTCAAATCCAGACATCGGGTATGCATGGTACGGCTCGGAAACTTTTCTCCAGTAAATTGCTAACTCGGAAACCAGAAAAACTAGAAAGCTGAAATTTCAAGGAGGTGCGGCCAGTCTTAATTTGTTTAGCCAGAAGCATTTGCCGAAAAAACCGATGCCGGTAGCGACAAGAACTGCGAAAGGAACTGTGGAAAAGCGCATCTTCGTACGGCCAGCCCGTGGTTGGCCAATTATTTTTTTCGGGAAGGCTGTTTTGAACTTATATCTCGCTTAGGAAACGAGACTGACCAATGGACGATGCAGTACTGGTCAAAGCAGCTGGAAAAGTTGAAAGCTACATGATATCACAGCATCAGACTTAGACAATTTAAGCGTTAAATTTAGAGTGCAGCTACATAACGGACGTAGTAATTTCGTAATATTGGAATTTTATTTAACAAGGAATAATTATTTACCTGCCTGCAAAGGCTAAAAACATCTCAATCTCATCATAAAAATATTTCCCGTTTCACTCGCCATTCTTCCTGTTCAAATATGCTTCTCTTTGAAGAACTCTTTCCTGTCCTGATAGTGTGCAACTGGTTTTTAACAAAAAAAGACCAAAATTTTATAAGCTAAGGTAAAAATCAATAAAAATCTAACCTGCACAACGAGTGTGCCGGAAACTGACGACAAAATTGCTGGATACGTTGCAGTGCATGGGGTGGTATACGATCCGGTGGAGTGGAAACGAAACGGTCCAGCAGAACTGGTATATCGTTGATGTCCCAGAAAGGTGTCCCTGAGACCATAAAAGGAGGTGGCGGAGGAGGTGGTGATATGATGGGGGGTGGAGGAGGAGGAGGCGGTGGTGGTGGAACTAGTGGCATTGGAGAGGGTGGTACTATTAGTGGTGGCATAGGCGGAGGTGGAGGGACTATTTGTGGCGGGGGTGGAGGTGGTGGTATTACTTGACGTGGGCGAGGTTGTGCTGGCAACTTCAGTGCAACTTTTGCGCCCAGTTCAGCTCTAATTTGAGCGTGCACCAAAGCTGAGCTTATTTCAAGGGCGATCAGGACCAAAAGCATCTCTGGGACTTTTTTGCTGAAAATTCACGAAAATTTTAAATAGTGATGTTGTAACGAAGCTTTGTAGAAATTCTTAAAATAACAATATGATGATCTCAATTTCAGGATACGATTTATTAGATTCGGCTTTCTGGGAAAGAATTATTGCATCAACTTGCTGTTCTGTTTCACTGGAAACAAATGATACATTCATACTTGATCACCTGCAATTTCATCGTTACGCTGTTTTTCCATAAATGTTGCAGTTTGCTGTTACCACTTTTCTTAATTTTGCGCGCTTCTCGTTCACACCCTACACAACCGTTCAGACGGATCTTCGATCGTACTGAAGGTCTTTCCCGTTTTTCTTCAACACTACTAAGGTACTTTTCGGTTTATTCGCTTCCACCATCTGCTGTCTCTCATATTTGGCACGCTCCCAACGCAACTTTTCTTGCTGGTGCACGCGAATTCAAGAAGCAAATGATAATCATTATGAATTGCAGCAGTTACCAGGAGACCAAAACAACCACAAGTTTTTTGCATCGCGACTTACAGAACTGTTAATATCAATTTCTGCGCATACCTACGTGGGATGGGTTTTACTCATACTTGATTCCACATGATTGTGGGCATGCTCACAGATTTTCAGCTTTCCAGGTGATTTGACCAATTTACAAAACTGTGTGCATCAACTTTCATATATCCACAAGCAAGAAGTCTTTGAGAAAGTTCATTTCACGTCTGGGACCGAGGCATAATGAAGAACTAACTGCTTAGATTTCAGCTTCACAGTTTTCGCAATTCTAAAAATCAAAAGTATATGGGGACACACCCATACACACATGGACACACCTATGCACTTACACCCTCTCGCCCTACGGTTTTTGCGTTGCATAATTGCAAGAAATACACAAAAAATAATATTTTTCAGAGGAGCACTACCTTACAAGGTAGTGCTCCTCTGAAAAATATTATTTTGTTTGCTCAAGGGATATGGATTGTTTTCCATAATTTCAGATGGAAAACTAAGCAAATGCGCATGAAGAGAACATGATATGAGTTGCCGAAGCTATGAGTTGTTTGAAATGTTAAATAAGAGTAACAGTACTTCATGTGATTAAAATTAATTCAGCATGAAAATAAGCGAAATTTTAGTGCTTACACCGACAACAAAAGTGTGAGGTTAAAAGTTTTGAAACATCTTTGTGACCGTATCTATTCATCAAGCAGTGATTTCCGACGCTTCTTTTTTGGAAGAAGGTGTAATTGAAAATTCCTGCATTCAGGTTTGTTCGCTGGAAAAGGGGGAAGCAGACACGTTTTTTTACGATCATTACCGACATCTCTTCTCAACGCTCACGCTATATTCCATACTTTCTCGCAAAAAAGCAAGAAATCTTCAGGAAATTAAAGCATTTTACAGTAATTCAGTTAAAGTGTGTGGAAAAATTTCCTTGCTTTAATTTGTGCACAATGTCCGGACAAAAAACAATCCAGACAACCAAGAAAAAACCAAAAAATTCTTCTGAAAACCCACCCCACATTTCAGTCATTATGAGTAAGATGACTCCCTGCAGGTAGGGTGGATTCATCTTTATTTAGTAGTGGCAATGTTCTAGAAGGAGTGATGCTCCACACACACACCAAGGTCATCTTAAAACGGCTAACGCCTTGTCAGACGCTTTTCGCCGACCCGGGGGGGGGGGAGTCAACGAGTAAGTAAATTCTTCGGAAGACGAAGCAAACTTCAGTTCCGCCAAAGAATGTCAGCTTCATAACCAGATATCAAGCTTTCAATTTTTCTGACCAATACCGCACCGCCCGCTGGACATTCTGCTGGCAAACTTAACGTTCTTCTCTTCACTCGAAAGGATTATTAGCTCTGCAGCTCTCGCGGCGTAGCTCTTGGTGGTTTAGCAACTTTGAGATGTTTCTGATATGAAGCAAAATCGTGAAAAATAGCGTCTGCAACCACTAACACAATGCGAACATCTTACTAGTGGCAAATGTTTTGGCGAACAGGACTGATAACCTGTTTCACAAAGTACGCGTGCTTTCGTATAACACACTTTTTTGTGTTTGTCACTCAAACTGCTGTTCTCTGTCATATGGTGCACTCAAATGTATTTACTATTAATGACAAAAGCCACAAATATTTGTTCAATTTTCCAGAAAAACTTCAAGATTTTTTCGGAAACCCGAAAACGTTTTTTTAATTCATAAGTGTCTTCGTTCCGCGGGTATTTAAACAAGCTAGGAACAATGTGGCCAAATGAGATTGTGAAAAGACAAGTAAATAATGAATATGGTGAGCTCATAAAGCAATTTTAGCTCCAAAAACACTGAAACGATGAGAAGAGCGGAAAAAAAGGTTGGTGATCGACTGATCAAAGGTGTATTGTTGGGTGGAACGGTAATTGTGTTGTTTGCAGCAAGCACTCCTTAATTTTACCAAAAAATGACTTTTTTTTTCATTCCAATAACTACTGTGTTATGAAACTGAGGTATGAGGAAAATCACAGATGTACGAAAATGTTTGTTCCTTTTTCAAATTTTTTCTGGTATTACTTTCTTTCGTGCAATCAACGACAGCTGAAGGAATTTTAACATTCAGCGAATTATTTTGATTTGGTGAAGCAAAAATGTGATGATTCAAAACCACACTGTTTCAGTAGAGAGGGAAAGCAACCATCTACAAGCAAATAATGTGAAAAATACGCATAAAAAAGTTCCCTAGAAGAATATTGATGCATTGTTTTCACTAATATAAAATTAAGTGCGAAAAAATCAAAAACTTTATATAAAATATATGTACATATATAAACTTGTAAATCCACGAATATAAAAATAGTGCTATGTATACATCCATAACAAGAACGGCAAGGGTAAGAAAATTTCGACTCACTAAACTACAATAAATTAAATTTGCATGTCAGATATTACTTGAATGTACTTTTCAAGGATTATTAACTTGCACACAGAAATTTGAAAGCCAGAAAGCACCATTCACTGCAGCACAAAAAAAAGAGTTCTGTTTTCCGTTTTAAAAAACTTTTCTAAAAAGGAAAGCTAAATTTTATTATTTTCTGAGGCACTTGCACGCACATCTATGCATGAGCTACCGTGTCTGCCTATATAAGTGTACTTTTTGTTTTAGAGAGCGCTCAGTTTATAACATACTTCCGTAATCCAGTCTACCACTAAGGCAGTTGCCGAAGAGTGATTTGTGCCAAAATCCGAACTGGCTATTTTTTGGTCTGAAAGGGATTCTGGCGATACCAGTCTTTGGCTATGCAAAAATAAGTTTTCAGTGACTGACAAAAAACTTGGGCATTAAAGAATCCTCTAGTGATTGTGTAGCGGCTTTGAAGTGG